CTCTGTTGGAGTCCGCACGAGGTCATCATGAAGAGCCTTAGATAAGAAATTCCTTTACAATTATGCCAACATGGAAATGTCCTTACTGTGTAGCTTTTAAAAGGAAGTCATAACTGTGATGGGTTTGATTACCCTCATGTCCTTGTGCAGAATGGTGTCTCCTTTCGTTTTATTGGCCTCTTAAAAAGATTGTCGAACCCTGCATGTGCTCTGGGTGTTAAAGTGTCTTTAGGATTGTTGGAGTTGTCAAGTTAAGGGTGTTACTTCTCAATGGATTTTACAGCCACTGGAGAGTGCTTTATATCAGGCTTAAGAGGTCATGTTGACATTCAAGCTTAGTTCTTTTTCTATTTAACTTTAGTTTTGGCAATATGCTTTTTTTTTTTTTTTTTTAGCTGTTTGTGAATGTAAAATATCAAAGTGCAGATAAATGGAGTTACTGTCTCCTAAATGAAAGAGTCGATTCTGAACTGAAACGAGTTGTCAGTAATTCAGTCTCCTGAATCTAGTGGGTTTAACTCATTTGCATAATGCCAGTCTATGCTCCTGATTGCTCCTATGATCCTGTGTCTCTTAGCTCCGCCCTCAAACACTAGTGTATCCGTCATGCAACATGCGCACCTGTTCTTAAAGGGTATGTTGGATGGCGCTCGGATTGGTTTATTTCACGTTACGCCCAAACCACACCTATAAATAATAAAGCTACTTCAGACCAACCTCTTTTAGATTTGCGCCAGGCGCAAGAGGCATTTATCCCGCCGGGAAAATAGCAATAGCTCCGGGACCCGCCCACAAAGTTACTTGCGCCATGCGCTTTGACATTTGCGTTTCAGATCGTTAAAATAGGGCCCTAAGAGGTTGAGGAAATGCAGGTGTGGGTGGGAGAAGAAGACCATGTTCAGAGGATTATGGATCCAGATGAAGTGTGGAGAAGACAGTCTCCAGCAGTGTTGCACTGCAGCACAAGCTACAGGTAAGACCAGTGGACCCCAGAGCCGGGTTACACACCACAGTGCTGAGGGATCCACAGCTGAGGAGAGGGAGCAGGAAGTAGAGGGAGGAGATATGATTGTGGAGAGTGATCCTATTGAGGGTGGTCTAGTGGAGAGCACATAATTTGGGCCTGACAACCAAGGGCCAGTCCGTAGAGGGGAAAGAAGAGAGCCAGGGCGGAGACAAGCGATCAAGTGGCCAAAAGCCAAGGAAGTGGCAGTGTGGCAACATATGGATGTGGATCTCTGTACCATTCTGGATCACTCACTTAGTGGCAACGTCAAGGCCAAGCTCAATCTCATTGGAGACATCTTGCATGAGGCGTGAAGAGGCAGGTACGGAACAATCTTGGGGAAGAAATGCACAGGCCCAAGGCTGAAAGGAAGGAGGGAACAACAGATTGAGCAGTTGCTGAAGAGGCGGCACCAGCTCCGAAAGCAGTGGAGGAAAGCTGAGGAAGAGGAGAAGGAAGGTCTGAAGTCACTGTGGAAAGACGTGAAGGAGAGCCTGTCTGGCTTGTGAAGGGCTGAGCGTATTTGTAAGCGCAGGAAACGAAAGGAGAAAGAGAGTGATTTCTTCAAGAATCCCTTCAAAACACGCAAGGCAGCTGCTGGAGGATAGGAGGAGTGGGAAGTTGGAGGCAACAAAGGAGGAGCTGGAAAGGCATTTTAGTCAGCAGTTCAGTGATGCTGGTAGACTGACTCCTCTGGGTTACCTGGGGTATGTTCCTCACCCAGTCCTCCCAGCTGTGCCCTTTAATACTGCACCCCCTAAACTCATTGAGGATGCAGTTATTGTTTGGAAGGCTAGAGCCGCCTCAGCACCAGGCCCCAATGGAATACCTTACAAACTGTACAAGCATTGTCCCGGTGTGCAGAGGATCCTGTGGAAACTCCTAGGAGCAGCATGGAAAAAAGAAGTTGTCCCTGTAGAGTGGTGGAGAGCCCTGTCTGTCCTCATTCATTAGTAGCAAGACTCAAAGAATATCAACCAGTTTAGGAACATAGCCCTTTTACATGTAGAAGGAAAGATATTCTTTTCCATCATGGCCAAGAGGATGACCTCGTTTCTTACGCAAAACGGGTTTATAGATATCAGCTGTCAGAAGGCGGGCATACCAGGCTTTCCAGGGTGTGTTGAACATTCCTCTGTGATATGGGAACAGATTCAGAGGGCGAAGAGGGAGAAGGGCGATCTGCATGTCGTCTGGTTAGATCTTGCCAACGCCTACGGGTCTGTCCCCCACCAACTTATTGCATTCGCCCTGGACTTCTTCTATATCCCTGATCCCTGCAAAGGTTTGATATCCAGATACTTTGAGGACATCTAGATATGTGACACACAAAGACTTCACCACAAAGTGGTAACGACTTGAAGTTGGCATTGCCATGGGGTGCTCAATCTCCCCCATTTTGTTCGTAGCAGCATTTGAGATCATCCTCATTGGGGCAAGGCAGGTGGTTGAAGGAGTGAAGTTGCCATCAGGCCAAAGGCAACCTCCACTGAGAGAGTACATGGATGACGTTACCACCATACTCCAGACAGCTACATGCACTGTGAGACTGCTTAAGAGGTTTGACAAACTTGTGGAGTGGGCAAGAATGAGAATCAAACCCTCAAATTCACGAAGCTTGTCCCTTCAGAAAGGTGTCAGGAGTGTCCGCACCATCTTTAGCGCTGGCGGTGAGGAAATCCAATTGTTGTCTAGCCAGCCTGTTCGGAGCCTCTGCCGAATTTACTCTGCAGACCTCACGGATAAACAAATGGGGCACGTGGTGAAAAAGCAGCTGGCAGATGGCCTCGCCAGGATCAACCTCAGTCAGCTCCCAGGCAAATACAAGGTGTGGTGTTACCAACTTTGGTTACGCTGTACCAAAGGATAATGTGGCCACTCAAGATGAGTGAAGTTCCCTCCTCCACAGTGAGCAAGTTGGATAGCTTGGCAAACTCGTACATCAGGAAATGGCTCGGGATACCAAGATGCCTTTCTGATGTAGGTCTCTTTGGCAAGACCAAGCTCCAGCTGCCCCTGCGTTCCATCAGCGGGGGATATAAGCAGGAGAAGGTGCAGTTGATCATGGAGCTAAGAGAGTCCACTGACCAGCTGGTGAGAGCTGCGGATGCCCAGGTTTTAACCGGGAGAAAATGGAGGGCCAAGGAGGAAGTTGACCTGGCAATAAGTAGGCTGCAACACAGGGAGGTGGTTGGCAGAGTACAGAACAGACGGGCAGGCGTCGGGTGGGGACAGGCCCCCCCTCTTCTGGTTGAATGCATCCAAAGAAGAGAGGAAGGCCATGGTGGCAGCAGAGGCGATGAGAGCTAAACACGAGAGGCTTACCATCAAAGCAGTGTCCCAGTGGCTCGGCAACGAGGAATCTTGCCTCCTGTGTAACACTGCTAATGCGAGCTTCAAACACACCATGTCTGGCTGCAAGACGGCATTGGCCGAGGGGCGCTACAGGTGGAGGCACGACCTGGTGCTGAAGAAGCTCGCTGAGGTAGTGGAAACCTGTACAGTAGGCAGGAAGCGAATAGCAGGCCCCCGGCCCTAGCCGCACGTTCCATCCAGTTCGCGAGGGCTGGGGAGAGGGGTAACACCCACCACCGGAAGGACACAGGAAGACTCCTTACACCAGGCAAGGGGTGGACACTAGCAGTCGACCTTGGGAAGCAGCTCCAGTTTCCCAGGGAGATAGTGGAAAAGTTGTTGCCTCCAGATCTGGTGATGTGGTCTGCTGCTTGCAAGGTGGTCCTGATGGTGAAGCTCACAGTCCCATGGGAAGGAGAACTTGAAGCTGCCCATGAGTGGAAGCGGGCCAAATATTCTGAACTGGCTGCAGAGTGCAGGGAGGCTGGTTGGGGGGCAGTCACATACTCTGTGGAGGTGGGGTGCCAGGGGTTCGTGGGCTCCTCTACCTCTCGTCTGCTCCGCGACATGGGTGGAACAGTCATAAGGCACTGGAAAGCCATGAAAGAGCTAGCAGAAGAGGCTGAAAGAGGCAGTTACTGGCTGTGGCTGTGGCTGAGAAGGAAGGCAAAGAGTTGGGGTCCAGTCTCCATCTAGGGCGTCAGCAGGGGGTGGCAAGGAGAAATCCCTGACATCGCTCCGCCACCATGAGATGTACTGGGGTTAAAGGAGCGAAACATCCGTGACTGGTAGTCCCCAGCTGATGACCCATTAATGCCCTCTGTAGTGTTCCCCAACATGTACACCTTCGGTACACCTTAATCTCTTAGGCACCGGTGGAGGTGCGACAGGCAGAAATGCCCAGCAGGTTTCACCATCTACCTGTATGTTAAACTCGCTTGTACGTAGCAAACTTTGTCACAGTATGTGTTTGTAGTTTTAAAAAATTGCGCCAATGTTAGTGTTTGTGTGTGTCTGTGTGTGTGTGTGTGTTGCACATCCATAATTTCAAAGGGGACGCGATTACAACTCTATAAGTACATAAATGTGTCAAATAACCATACCGAGACGTACTGGTCCATTCTCATTTGTGTTTATTCTGCCGGAGTCTCTTCATCATCTGGGTCTGATCAGAGAATATTTATATATTCCGATTCAAACATGTACGGCTGAATGACATTCAAAACAGCGGGTCTCTCACTCTCTCAGCCCTTCTGCTTACCGACTGCCATAGATATGCAAGTGACGCCCTCATCCAAAGGCAGGGCGGGGATATGCAGCTCATTTGCATTTAAGATCATATACACCAAAACAGCTTATTTTAAAACAGGCCCCAAAAATGATATTTTCAAATGGTTATAATAAATTAACTTTGGGATATTTTGTGCTGAAATTTCACAAATACATTCTGGGGACAACCGAGACCAATATTACATCTTGTAAAAAGGGGCATAATAGGTGCCCTTTAATAGTGAATTGACCATTTAAAATTTAGTGTTTTTGTAGTAAAAGACACATGGGTTATCATTTTGTCATGCAAAAGCATTCATAGAGTGCCCATGTAGGTTTTCAAACATGGTCTTTTTGCTTGTCATCTCAGATTGAGAACTACGTGAAAGACAATATGAAGACGGAGATGGTGCAGCTACAACAGAGTGCCGTTCACAACCACACAGCGGCCATGTTAGAGATGGGCACGAGTCTTCTCTCGCAAACAGCCGAGCAGACGCGCAAGCTCACCGATGTCGAGACACAGGTATGTTCCTCCCAGAATACATTTCATGCTCCATCACTCCAACCAACTTAATTTTCTATGTATCCCCTTGATGCAGCTCTTAACACACCAAGAAAAACACTATTGTCGCATTAGACATACAGTCTCTTTTTATATATCATTCTAATATTTTTATTGCTAATTCTCTTTACGACTTGTGCGCTTCAATGAGACACAGAGGGATACGGTAAAAATGTATTTTGCTGATTTGTCAAATAAGAGGTTGACTTGAGAGAATAACTGTGCATAAGTGCTACCGTATGGTTCTGCGGTAAAATGGTTCTGTTTATGGCTTCTCACGAGGTGCCGCTCGGCTAGTATTAACTTACTTAATGGTTTTAAGGTCTGTGTTTTTGCGGAAGGATTACTGTATTTTTATTGGAATGTCCTTGTTTCCAGGTTTTAAATCAGACATCACGGTTGGAAATTCAGCTTCTGGAGAATTCACTATCAACCAACAAGCTGGAGAAACAACTCATGATACAGATAAATGAAATCAACAAGATCCACGACAAGAATGGGTAAAAAAAAAACTCAAACACTCACCTCACACCCCAACAAGCCCTCACACACACACACACACACACACACACCAATATACAGCATGAAACATGGATATATATGTGAATGGATGGATGGATGGATGGATGGATGGATGGATGGATGGATGGATGGATGGATGGATGTATTGGATAGATAGACAGACAGATAGGTGATAGATAGATAGATAGATAGATAGATAGACAGACAGACAGACAGACAGACAGACAGACAGACAGACAGACAGACAGATAGATAGATAGATAGATAGATAGATACACACAGACAGACAGACAGATAGATAGATAGATAGATAGATAGATAGATAGATAGATAGATAGATAGATAGATAGATAGACACAGACAGACAGACAGACAGATAGATAGATAGATAGATAGATAGATAGATAGATAGATAGATAGATAGATAGATAGATAGATAGATAGATAGATAGATAGATAGATAGATAGATAGATAGATAGATAGATAGATAGATTCAGTTGATCCAGTACAGATTCAGTTGTCTCACTGTATGCTCTGCCAACACAGATGTTCACGTCTCACTCTCCTGCAATTACTAAGAAATACAGATTCTAATGCCAGAACCACAATATAGATCATTACACAAAATGATATTGAGTTCTTGACATCGCAGGCTCTCGGGCTTTCGCTCGGTCCCTTCTGGTGCATGCGTGACCTGACATTCAACTTTATCTTCAGTGAAGATGAGTTTAGCAGTGCAGACTTGTGGAGCTCGTTCCAGTTTTCTATGTATTCATTGGTCTGACAGGACATGATCTGGCTTTAATTCCCATTTATCGCTCTGCTTTGAGCCCAGCTGTTGTTGAACACACACAAGCATTCTTATTTGGAAGAATATAAAAAAAAAATGTTTATATCTCAGTTGTCGTTACCAGTGTTGATGTAATTACTCATCCTTTATATAGATTGACGTTCTTACTTTCTCCTATTTCAATCTGAATGCATTCTTTTAAGTTCTTTATGTGTATTGAATTTTGCTGTAATAAGCGAGCATCAGGCTTCTGAGATTTCAGAAAATCCTCACTGATCACATGTTTGGATGCTTTGTGAATTATACAGTCTGACTTCATTCATATCTGTATGCATTACAGCTGTAATGAAGCGCTATCCATTTCTTTCACTAAAAAATACCGTAAATATAGGATCATCAAATCAAGCCTTGATGAAGCCAGGGATTGTTCAACTTTCTTTATAAGGCATTTTGTTTACCTGGATCCACATACAAACCATGCAATATGATATATCGGTATTATCTAAGTCTGTGTATTTGCTGTATGACTAAAGCAATTGCAATAAAGGAGCATTATTGTTTCATAGAACATTTGAAGTGCAGTAGTGGCCAAAAGTGAGGAAAATTGACCTCTTCACCCTTTATTAAAATATCATTACCATATTTTGAAAGCATATTGCATAACTGTGTTTGTTTTAATTTTGATAATAACACAGGGAAACATGTCATATTGCGCGATATAATTTTTGGCCAGGCTGTTATACAAAGAAATTATGAACACATGCAAAAACAAGAGAGAATCAGTGAAATATTCATAAATGATTTTGTTTTAGTTAAAGTGCTTTTTCCTGTCAGCTTTTGTTTTTCTATGCATTTTTTGGCATAATACTATAGCTGCAATTTGCCTTTTTTTTTTTTTTTTTTTTTTTTTTTTTTGCCAAATCATTCTGTCATACCTTAAACAAGTTTAAAGTTCGTCCTTCCCTGAAATTTAAAGCTGCATTATGTTATTTTTGAAATTGTGCTCTCGGGGTCCCCCTACAGTTGGGAAACAGTATTGTCTTCTACTACTGTTATAAAATCAGTCATGTTACACCAGTCATGTTACACATGCATGTATTTGTTGACAAGCGATCCCCCAAAACTCTGCAGAAGGAAGGAGTTCTCACATCTTGGGTAGACTCCAGTGTTTTTTTTGTGTGTGTGTGTTTTTTTTTTGTTTTTTTTGAGTGTTCAGCATGTCTTATGAATATTGTATCATGGGCTTTATTATTTTCAAACGTTCAAACGTCAAAAGATTGCGTAGCTCACGTTTACAAGCCAGCGTCTTTATAGTTATGTTAGCCTATTGGCTACTATTTTACATAATGGATATGCTATTTCAATTCAATGTTTGCGTGGTAGATAATAGCCATGTCGTCAATATTATAATATCAAGCTACCATAGATGAATCTGCAAATTTGAAAACGCGATTTGCATTATAGCCTGAGGCAAGACACTTTCACCAGAAAAATAAGTAACAAACATGGCTATCAGCCTGCAGACATCGGATAGTTATCCTGACCGATTATTTTATTATTTACTTGCAAGAATGTAGCCCCTATACCAAACTCAGTAATCAGTATACTTTCACGTCTCAAGCTGGCACGAGCTGCCCACCCTGGCTCTGCGGGGATGCTTCAGTGTGTTAAGCGCCCTCAAAAGACAGCAATGCAGTCTACACTGGATGCGACGAGGGGCGAAGCTACATAACACATTACCAACAGTAAACTGATCGCCTGCGCGCTCTGTTTTTGATGCACTTCACATTTGGTTTTACTTGCTGCTCCAGCCATGTCAACATACAGAGGTAAAAAAAAAAATGCTTGTTTATGCTCTCGCGTCGGAATTTGAGGAAGTGGGGGAAGTGCCGTAATGCAGTCGAATTTTGTAGTTCTTTTTGTGCTTGGGTTCCTACCCGCTCCCCGAAGTTACATAATGCCAGTAAAAGTGATGCAGACCCCGTCAGGCTATGGCAGACCTGTCATTCATCCTATTGTAAGTCGATGTACCATCTCAAGGGTTTTGGAAAAATATTATAAAGGTTGAAAAAAACAACATAGTGCTGCTTTAAAATATATAATGATCTCTTTGATGATCTCTTGTGTGTTTCAGGTTCCTGGAGGAGAAGATGCAGGAGATGGAGGACCGGCACCAGCAGGAGCTGGAGGTCGTGCGTGAGGAGAAGCTCAGTCTACAGGCGCTGGTCAGCAGACAGAGCTCAGTGATTCGAGAGCTGGAGGATCAGCTGGCCCGAGCCAGCGGGAACACTAGCGCCCTCCAGACACAACAGCAGGACCTGATGGAGACCGTGCGCAGCCTGATCCAACTCTGCAACCGGGACGCCGACACAACGCGTAAGAGCACACACACTTTACTGTCATTCATGCTGAGAAACTCACTGGTTATTAAAGGACAACTCCGGCGCAAAATGAACCTTTAGTCTAATTACACATTGTTACCTAGTCAACCGTTATCTGAGATTTGTTTTCATGATTGCAGAATGTAAATAGTTTTATCTCTAAAAACAGTTTAGCCTATAACGCTAGTATAATGCTAGTATATGGGGCATAGAGTAATGACAAATAAAAATCGCTTGTTATTACCACTAACAAGGCTCAAAATAGCCCCACAGTAACACGACAGCATAATAGGGTCTCTACATTCAAACCGAAGCATAGAGATCTTTGTCAGTGTCCATACAGTTTAATAAGAAGATATTTTATACACACAGTCAACTTCGCGAATACAGGAAGAATCCATCTTTGAAAAATAGTCTCTACCAGTCGATCTACGAACACCGATCCAAGTGCGCTGGTGAGATGTGAATAAGGTGATAAGATGAGCGCGAACAGTAGGCTACGTGTACATATTGAAGAGAAGAAAACGCGGTTTGTGTTTGTGTTTCTTCCGGAAACAATGGACCATATGAGATTCTGCACAGTTCAGCGCACTTGGATCGGCGTTCGTAGATCGACTGGTAGAGACTATTTTTCCAAGATGGCTTCTTCCTGTATTCGCAAAGTTGACTGTGTGTATAAAATATCTTCTTATTAAACTGCATGGACACTGACAAAGTTCTCAATGCTTCGGTTTGAATGTAGGGACCCTTATTATGCTGTCGTGTTATAGTGGGGCTATTTTGAGCCTTGTTAGTGGTTAACAAGCGATTTTTATTTGTCATTACTCTATGCCCCATATACTAGCGTTATACTAGCGTTATAGGCTAAACTGTTTTTAGAGATAAAACTATTTACATTCAGCAATCATGAAAAAAAATCTCAGATAACGGTTGACTAGGTAGCAATGTGTAATTAAACCAAAGGTTCATTTTGCGCCGGAGTTGTCCTTTAATGCTGAAAAACTCCTAGCTTTGGACCTGCATGTTATAATTAGAGAAATACATTTTATTAATTAATTAATTCTGAGGGAATGATTATATTTTGCCCGGGACGCCGTCACCTGACATCCCTCACTCTTTAAACATGGAGACACACAGGTGCATGTTATTATTAGAAAAATACATTTTACTGATTAATTTTTAAGGCAGAATTGTATTTGGTGCTATGTTAGTTTATTGATATATTTGGTGAAGATGTGGTCCGGGGTTCATGCATTTATAAATATGTGTTTGTTTATTTGTGTGTCAGGTCAGGACTTGGTCTTGGGTTCATATGCATTAATATATAATATCATAATGAAATACTCTGTTGTTTATGTATTTGTTTGTTTGTTTGTTTGGTCTTGGGTTCATAAATGTATTAATATTTGTTTGTTTGTTTATTTTTATTTTGTTTGTTTGTTTGTTTGTTTGTTTGTTTGGACAGGATTTGGTCCCAGGTATATGAATTCATACATAAATTCATAAATGAATATTTATTAGTTTGTTATCAGGAATTGTTTGGGGGCTCGTGTGAATTATATAGCATATATACATTTCTAATAAATAATCCTACTATATATATATATATATATATATATATATATATATATATATAGTTCGTTCACTCACTCATTCATTCATTTACAAATTCCAAACTAATTTATTTAATTGGATTGATATTTTAACTTTATTTTTGGTCTATTGTTTCACCTCATGTGTCACCAAGCGATCCAGGACAAAACTAAACAAAAATTGGTGCAAGACAAGCTGAAAACACACGTCACCCAGGAAGAGAAACAAAACTATAAGTGTAGCAGGGAATTTGAGATAGAAATACATGAATGTTATCAATGAGGAAAGCTTCTTCCTGCTGGTGTGAAATGTGTGGTTTTCTGGTTCGGCGTGACGTTTGAAACTCAACGGATGTGTGTTATCACGCTTCAACACACCGCCTGTGCTCAACAGTCCAGTGAGTGTCAAACCGCTCCTGGTTGAGTTACAGCGCGAGCTCACAGTGATCGTTTCCTCGAACCTCACGCTTGTCTTCACAGCAGCAGGAGTCAGTGTCCTGAACTCATTACCCTCGTGACCTCGCGACCCCTCGGCTCTGTGCTCACACAAAATATACCCTCACGTCTGAGACGGGACAGCACCGGGACTTCCGGTTTGCTTTTAAATGCATTTCAAATGCTTTCATTTCACTCAGCAAAAATGCAACCCAGGAAAACGGGCCTAATAGTACGTTGCATTTGCACGTTTGGCAACACTTTAAAAGTGAAATATCCAGTGAGTAGTGCTAAAAGTGTGTGTTCAGTTTTATCCAAACCAGGAGAACGAGAATCTTTGAGGTGTTTTATTGTGACTCATGTTTCACAGGACTTGTACTAGTGATGGGATTCAAACGTCAAAATGATGTATTCCTTAAATGATGCACGATGGTAAAAGTGGTGTGATGGTTTTGAAGGAATGGTGTTCAAGGAACTGCGTAAACATAAGTGTTTAGCAATTGATAATCTGCCCCTGAATTAAAGTTGTTGCTGTTGTTCATTTCAGCTAAAAACTGCAGCGATTTGTTTGGGTAACACTTTAGAATACGGTACCTTCGTTAATGAATAACTACACAAGAACTAATGAGTAACACAATATTAACAATCTAGTAACTATTATTAACTAACAAGAAACTCTGATTAACGAACTAGTAAGTAATAGCGCACAGACGAAACTGGTAGTTCACTATTAAGTAATCAATAACTACTATTTTTTTAATACTTCCCCGAGAACTACTGAAAAAGTTTATTAATAATCTAGTAACTACTATTAACTAAAAGAAACTCTTATTAACGAATTAGTAAGTAATAGCTCACAGATGAAAGTGTTACTAGATACTTCTGTGGGAATTACTAATTATTTGGATTCGTATTATAAAGTGAAGATCATTGGAACTAACTAGTAATGACTCAAGTGTTACTACATGATCTAGTCATGATTTGTACAAATGTTTGAGATTTTTTGGTGAACTTTAGTAACTTTTAGAAAATGTCTTTATTAACACTTGAGTAATTACTAGTTAGTTCCAATGATCTTCACTTTATAATACGAATCCAAATAATATAATTCCCACAGAAGTATCTAGTAACACTTTCATCTGTGAACTATTACTTACTAATTCGTTAATACGAGTTTCTTTTAGTTAATAGTAGTTACTAGATTATTAATAAACTTTTTCAGTAGTTCTCTGGGAAGTATTAAAAAAAAGTAGTTATTGATTAGTTAATAGTGAACTACCACTTTCGTCGGTGCGCTATTACTTACTAGTTCGTTAATCAGAGTTTCTTGTTAGTTAACAATAGTTACTAGATTGTTAATATTGTGTTACTCATTAGTTCTTGTGTAGTTATTCATTAACGAAGGAACCGTATTCTAAAGTGTTACCATTTGTTTGTATTGGTACGTCTTTTGAGTAGGTAGAGGCAAAACACACACACACGTACACACACACACACACACACTCTCACACTCACTCACTCACTCACTCAATCACACACACACTCACTTTTCCCATTTGTACTTCAGCCAATCACACTAAACGA